TCACAGTTTTACTGAATCCTTTTTTTTTCTTTTTTTTTTTTAAGGAAGGTTATGAGCAAAGGCAAATGGAAAAAAATTTCATTTTTTCAATGTGGCATTGAGTCCCATGTTGGGCTCCCTGCATGGAGCCTGTTTCTCCCTCTGCCTGTGTCTCTGCCCCTCTCTCTCTCTGTGTGTGTGTCTCCCTCATGAATAAATAAATAAAATCTTAAAAAAAGAAAATTCTTTTCAATGAACAAGGTTGGAACAATTGGATTTAGGAAGAAGTAAACCTTTCTCCCTGCTTTCACCATACACAAAATTTTTTTTAATAAATTAATTTTTTATTGGTGTTCAATTTACCAACATACGGAATAACACCCAGTGCTCATCCCGTCAAGTGTCCCCCTCAGTGCCCGTCACCCACTCACCCCCACCCCCCGCCCTCCTCCTCACCATACACAAAAATTAATTGCAATAATACACCCTACTCTTTGGTGCTGCCCTGCACTGAGGTTGGATCATCATCATAAGCCTGAGGGAGAGAAGTAAAGTGGGGTCATCCAAAAGACTCTTCCTGGTCAAAGAATCCAAGGTCAAGTTACAGAAACCAGTTGTATTTTCAACTGTTAGCAGCACACAACTGGAAATTAAACTTACAAAACTATTCCATTTATCATAGCATCAGAAACATAAAAAATACTCAGAAATAAATTCAATAAAAAATGTGTGAGACCTCTACAGCCAACCACAAAATATACATAAGAGAAATTATACTACAAAGTATGTAAGGGAAACTGAAGAAAACTAAAATGAAGAGATAAACCACATTCATGAACTGAAGAACTCAGTATTATTAAAATGCAATTTTTCCCAAATTATTCTATAATTCTACGCAACTCCAATCAAAACTGTAACAACTGGTAGATATTGACAAGCTGATTTGAAATGTATATAGAAATACAAAAGACCAAGGATGTATCATCTTTTTAAATTTGGCCAAGAAGAAAAAAACACTTGGGGGATCTGATATCAGTACGACTTTAAAAGTTTAATAATCAATTCAGTGTAATATTGGCATAAGGATAGGAAAAAAGATCAATGAAAGAAAATAGAGAATCCTGAAATAGACCCAAACACATATGGTCAACTTATTTTTAACAAAGGTACCAAGGGGAAAGAAAAGTCTTCTCATGGGCAGCCCAGGTGGCTCAGCAGTTTAGCACCACCTTCAGCCCACGGCATGATCCTGGGGACCCAGGATCGAGTCCCACATCAGGCTCCCTGCATGGAGCCTGCTTCTCCCTCTGCCTGTGTCTCTGCCTCTCTCTCTCTCTCTCTCTCTGTGTGTGTGTGTGTGTGTGTGTGTGTGTGTCTCATGAATAAATAAATAAAATCTTTAAAAAAAAAAGAAAATTCTTTTCAATGAACAAGGTTGGAACAATTGGATTTAGGAAGAAGTAAACCTTTCTCCCTGCCTTCACCATACACAAAAATTAATTCAAAATCATCATAGACTGAAATGTGAAAATTAAAATTATAACAATTCTAGGGAAAACATGTTTCTGACTTTTGGGTAAGCAGAGACTTCTTGCAGAGAACAAAAAGTACACACTAACTATACAAGAAAATATTAATAAACTAAACTTCATCAAAATGTAAAACATCTGGTCATCAAAAGGCACCACTAACAATATGAAAAGGCAAGTAAGAAGCCAGGAGAAAATATTTGCAATACATATATCAGACAAAATACATTATCCAGAATATATAAAGAACTTCTATAAGTCAATAACAAAAGACAACCTAATTTTTTAATTGAGCAAATTCATTATGAATAGCTATATAACAAAAAAAGTTACACAAATGGAGAATAAGCATATGAAAATGAGTTCAACATCACTAGCTATTACAATGATGCAAATCTCAGCCAAAAGAAAAGAGAAAGTTTCAACACAAGTTTCGCTTGGCAGGAGCCTCCCAAGATATGTGTGCATTTGGGGCGTTTGTTTTAAGGACTACAGTATCTTTTGTACTTTTGAGGCCTGTGCAAAGCGCTTTTCCCCTTACCTTCAACAAAATGGAACCACAAACAGCCAGCCACTGCTTAGAGTAGATATCAAAGACTCAAGGAATCTCAGAGTGAGGTTCAAGAGATCCCTCTCCAGCCCACCCCATCAGATTTTGCATTATTTCCCTCTTCCGAAAGGTCTCCTTCTCAACAAGCTGCTGACACCCAGGGTCTTAACACACTGGCTGCATTCAGAGTCAAAGTGTACAAAGATTGTCAGGATATAAGCAATACGGGACGGTTTCTCTAGATGATCCTGAACCACAGAGTGATTAGACTGTGTCCACAATGCCCCTTCAACTCAGCTAGTGTCAACACCCAAATGCCACTTGCATTACAGAGAGTCAGGCCAGCAAAAGCGTGTAAATGTCAAATTGATACCCAGGGAATTTGAGTGTAAGCATGCCAAAGGATGGGCTCTACTTGTTAAAAATGGGTAAGAAGCTTGAAGTGGAGCTTCAATCAGCCTTAATCCCTGAGAATCTTTAGAAGAAAGATGAAGTTCCACTAAAAAAAAAAAAAAAAAATCAAGATCGATTAAATCTATATGAGGTGGCGAGAGAAACCTGTACATCACAACACCTAGTCACAGGAGCAAGGAGGAGCAACAACCCTAGTCACAGAAGCCAAAGGTTGAGGAGCAGGCCTGGGAAGCCCTGGGGAGCTCATGAGGACTCCTGAGGTGCTGGCTGAGAGCAGAGGTTCTCAGAGGGCAATAGACAAGTGCACACCCTTTATTCAACTGCCTGAAGCATCTGCCCCAACTTCTCTGGCTCCTCCTGCCTGGACAAGCTCATGCTCCTCTTTTGTCTTCTCTCCTGAGGCCTGGAGCAGAATGGCCTAGAGCAGAATGGCCTAGAGCCCATGCCCTGCTCCACTGCCTGAGGAGCTTCATTTGCACTCCACCCCCAGGGGAAGGCTTGGCCAGTGGTCAGTCCGCTAGCCCACAGGCAGGCAAAAAGAGGAATGGATCCCTTGCCTTGCCTTCTCATTCTTCCCACGGAGGCTCCACTTCCTGGTGCGGAGACTGTGCTGTGGGCCCCTCTACTCATCCTTGTCCAGGCTCATCTCCTCGCTCCTGAAGATGGGACCAAGGACAACATGAAGCAAGAGGGAGGACTTGAGGTTTGAGGGCAAGGCCAGCATAGGCTCCCCCAGGGAGCTGTCACCTGGAGACCTGGGCAGCTGGGGTGCCATAGCTGAGAGAAAAAGAAACCCTCACACACTGTTGATAGGAATGGAGATCGATGCAGCCACTGTGGAAAACAGTATGGAGGTTCCTCAAAAAAACTGAAAATGCAATTGCCATATGATCCAGTAATTCCACTATTGTGTGTTTACTCCAAGAAAATGAAAACACTAATTTGAAAAGATACATGCACCCATTTATTTATTTATTTATTTTGAAGATTTTATTTATTCATGAGACACACACACACACAGAGAGGCAGAGAGAGAAGCAGGCGCCATGCAGGGAGCCCGACATGGGACTTGATCCTGGGTCCCCAGGATCATGCCCTAGGCTGAAGGTAGCACCAAACCGCTGAACCACCAGGGCTGCCCAACACCTCTATATTTATTGTAGCATTATTTATAATAGCCAAGATATGGAAGCAACGCAAGTGTCCATCCACAAATGAATGGATAAAGAAGTGGTATACATATAAATGGAGTGTTACTCAGCTATTAAATATAATACGATATAATGCCAAGTGAAGTAAGTCCATCAAAGAAAATCAAGTGCCATATGATTTCACTCATATGTGGAATTTAAGAAATAAAACAAGATAATCCTCACTCTTGCCCTTACTTATATTACTATAATAAATTATAATAATGGGTTTCTTAATATTGAATTATTTTTGTATTACTAGAGTAAATCTCATTTGAGCACATGTTTTGGATTCTGTTTGTTTTTATTAAGGATTTTTGCATTAAAATTCCTAAGTAAGAAAAAAAAGAAATATTGGAAATATATATAGCAAAATTGATTACCACTGCATGTTATAACTTGTTTTCTACTTTTTGTTTATCTGTGATTTCTAATTTTAATAATGCATATATATTTTTACCATTTAATGAAAAATGTTAAGAAACTACTGATATGCTTCGATTGAATTAAATAATCATTTTAGATTGTTTTTAACAAAAGAAAGAAAGAAAGAAAGAAAGAAAGAAAGAAAGAAAGAAAGAAAGAAAGAAAGAAAACAAGAGACAAACCGAAAGCCAACTCTTAAAAGCAGAGAACAAAGTGATGGTTACCAGAGGGAAGGTGAGTGGGGTGATGGGTGGAAAAGGTGAAGGGGGCAGCCCAGGTGGCTCAGTGGTTTAGCACCACCTTCACCCCAGGGTGTGACCCTGGAGACACAGGATTGAGTCCCACGTCAGGCTCCCTGCATGGAGTCTGCTTCTCCCTCTGCCTGTGTCTCTGCTTCTCTCTGTCTCTGCATAGCTTGTGATATAAAATCTTTAAAAAAGAAAGAAGAAAGAGAAAAGAAAAAAGAAAGAAAGAAAGAAAGAAAGAAAGTGAAGGGAATCAAAAAGCATACTCATCATGATGAGCACTGAGTAATGTACAGATGTTGAAATCACATTGTACACCTGACACTAACATAACACTATATGTTAATGACACTTCCATTTTTTAAAAAGGAAATAATATTTTTCACACACTAAGCATTGCTAAAATTAAAAAGACTGGGAAAAAAAGAATGAGGCTCAGAGATCAAATAAGTCTCTCGAGTTCCCACAGCTAAGAGGCAGAACCAAGAATGGAGTTCAGGCCGCCAGATTCTCCATGCTCCATACCAAGTGCACTATACATGCCTCTAAGTTCTCATACTTCCAACCATTCCCACCGGAGGAGGGGAGAATGAGCTACAGCTAATGACAAAGGAGACACTGATGTCAGAAACCTACCACAGTTTTTCACGGTGATATCATTGCTTACCTGTCCAGGGCCATGCTGGTGGGCATACTCCTCCCAAACCCTCGGACCCCCATCTGACGGAAATATGGAATGCAAGGGAGGTTGGCAGCAATGATGGCCAGGGAGTCGGAAGGGCTCACAAAGAAGCCATTTCGGCCTAGGATCATATAACGGTCCTGTCAGAAGGAAAGCGTGAAAATGATCTGACAGAGGCATGTGCTGCTGGCAATGCCATTCCCATAATCATCACAAGCTACTTTACTGCCATTCTGTATTTCAACAATCTAAAATAACTTGAATGAAGCCAAAGAGGACATGGGAAGCCTTATTTTAAATTCCTGAGTATAGTGGTGCTCAGCAGTTGTTGGCTCAGTTGGTTAAGCATCTGCTTTCGGCTCAGGTCATGATCCCAGTCCTAGGATCGAGTCCTACATCGGGCTCTCTGCTCAGTAGGGAGCCTGCTTCTCCCTCTCCCCCAGCCTGCCACTCCACCTACTTGTATTTGCTCTATCTTTCTCTCAATCAAATAAACAAAATCTTTTTTTTTAACTAACTAAATAAATAAGTTCATTCCTGAGTACTGTAGGGCCCAGGACCTTGACACTGTTAAGAATGTATCCCACCTGTTGAAAGGTGGATGACTACCTCAGGCTTCAGTAGTTTCCATATATTTATCTCATACTTTCCCCAAAATATAATAGAGAACAAGAATTATTGTTGAACTACCTACCTAGCTCCTTAATGCAGTTTTAACAAAACCAACTATAAATAAAGATTTATTGCATGAATATTTTTTAAAAGAAATAACCTTTTAATAACATAATGCACTCTGGAACTAAGAAACATAAAGGCTGTTTAATTGCAGTACAGGAGAGCCAGTAAAAAGAAGAGCAGATGCGGAGTCAATTAGGGTTCAAATGCTGCATACATGTCAGCCAGCCCCATGAATTCTCTGGCTTCCAATGCTTGGCTTATGATATGGTAAAAGGGTTAGAAGGCAGGAAACATTCCTACTTACCCCATCAGCATCAAATGCAGCTCCAAATCCATATTCTCCTCCTTTCATTGCTTCCAGAAGGGTTGTTGCATATGTCAGGTTTGGGTCAGGATGTTGCCCTCCAAAATCTTCCAGAGGGACACAGTTTATTGCAGAATTGGCTGGAGCTCCCAGCTCATCACACAAGACTTTTCTCACGTAGGGTCCCATAACTGAAAAGAAATATGCAGCAATATGAAATCTTTGCAGAAACCCACAAGTATGTTCTGTTCTGGTTAGAACAAGAAAGGCCATTTAATAGCAGAGAGAAAAAAAATTCTACAAGCCCTTTCAAGACACAACACAGAGTAACACTTACTTCAACTACTATCCATTGAGTATCTAGCATGCCTGACAGGCAAAATCAAAAGATGTTCACTGTTTGAGGGTTGTGTTGTATCAGTGAAAATTAAATGGAAAGCAATGCTTTACATATATTTCAGCCAACAGGATTACATAGTGATCCCTAAATGTGCTGTAAGTTCTACCTCAGGCTCCATTCCCTTGTTTATAATGTCCTTTCCATTTGGGTGGCATCCCTACTCCCCATCTCTATCTAATTTATATTCTTTCTAAGAAATGCAGATCCTCCAGAAATGCTACCTCCTTCTTGAAACTTTACCTGTGGTGGTTTCTTCTTATAAGCCATTGGACCTAATTATTTCATAAATATACATTACATAGCACCAGTCTTACCATCACTCACTCACTCGCTCACTCACTCACCTGTAGATTTGACTCATGCTGCTATTGTATTAAGAGCCCAATAATGCAGAAACTATGTGCTATGCATCCCTTGATTATGATGTTTCTGTTCCTAATATATGATGTTTCTGTTCCTAACACAGGAATTTATTTAGGCGCTCCATAAATGTGTGTTGAACCAGAAAATACCACTCCTTAGCACTTATTTTGTAAAATATGCTTAGTTTTATATGCTTCAGTGGTTTACAGCATCTAATTATATAGTTGGTAGAGTTAAAATTATTGCAGACACAAAGAACATTACTGTCCGGCACTTATTTCCCCTTCCTCTAGTAGCAATACTTTGGGTTTCCTCTAGAGAATAAATTCCTTTCCCATCTTAGTTCTTATCAGGTGGATATGGCTAAATCCCACTTGCCCCAAGGCTGAGGTGACCTAAGTCTGCCCAATCAACATCTTCCATCCCTCAGCCAGAGTGATTGATTGGAGGATGGATATACAGTACAAACAAGGCAGTGAGGCTCAAAACCAGATATATTGCTCAAACTGTTAAAAAAGAGAAGCTGTCTTCCCTCTAGGCCAGATAATGCTAGGGCAAGAACCTGAAAGATCCTTTCTGGAGAATATGATTGGGGCAATAAGAAAGAACAAAACAGCCCAACCAGATGACCTTAGAGTAAAGCCATGGAGGATGAGTGCTACACATGGGCTCAGACTTCCTAACAAAATTTTCAGTGCCCCATTCTCAAACATGCCAGACAGCCAAGGATTGCCAAACTTTTGAAAAATGCAGTCAATGTGAGACCAAAACAAAAAGAATAAAGAGCAACCTGGAAGAAACAGAAACTATACAGGGAGGGGACACCTGGGTGGCTCAGCAGTTGGGCATCTGCCTTTGGCTCAGGGCATGATCCCGGGATCTGGGATCCCACATCAGGGTCCCCATACGGAGCCCGCTTTTCCCTCTGCCTGTGTCTCTGCCTCTCTCTGTGTGTCTCTTATGAATAAATACATAAATCTTTAAAAAAAAGAAACCATATAGGGTGAAGAAAACTTTTAAAATATACATTAATAGGGGCACCTCAGTGGCTCAGTCAGTTAATCATCTCCTTCAGCACAGGTCAGGATCCCAGGGTCCCCAGATCGAGTCCCTCATTGAGCTCCCTGCTCAGTGGAGAGCCTGCTTCTCCCTCTCTCTCTGCCCCTTCCCCAACTTGTGCATGCTCTCTCTCTCAAATAAATAAAATCTTTAAAAATATATATATATATATCGGTAATATTTTAATAGAAACCAACAAGATATGGTAGAATGGCTAAAATTGAAAAGACTGACAATGCCAAGTGTTGGTGAGGACATGGAAAAACTGAAGCCCTCATACACTATTAGCAGTGCAAATGGTACAGCCAATTTGGACAAGAGCTTGGCAGTTTCTTTTAAAGTGAAATGTGGACTTGACCTATGGTTCAGCAATCCCAGTCCTAAGTATTTATCTAAGACAAACAAAATCATGTAACCTATAAAAACTTATTCACAAATGTTTATGACAACTTTGTTTGTAGTAGCCAAACCCTAGAAATAACCATAATTATTTCAACTGATGAATAGATAAACAAACTGTAGTACATCCATTCCATGAAATACTCAGTGGTAACAAGAAATCACTATTGATATGGTCAACACCATGAACCCATCTCTAAAACTTTATGTGAGTGAAAGTAGCCTGAAGAAGAGGGCTACATATTTATGCTTTGATTTAGGTAGTTTTACAGAAAATGGCAAAATTATGCAGGCAAAAGCAGATGAGTGGGGAGGGGCAAGATGGCGGAAGAGCAGGGTCCCCAAATCACCTGTCCCCACCAAATTACCTAGATAACCTTCAAACCATCCTGAAAATCTACGAATTCGGCCTGAGATGTAAAGAGAGACCAGCTGGAACGCTACAGTGAGAAAAGTTCGCGCTTCTATCAAGGAAGGAAGACGGGGAAAAAGAAATAAAGGAACAAAAGGCCTCCGAGGGGGAGGGGCCCGCGAGGAGCCGGGCTGAGGCCGGGGCGAGTGTCCCCAGGACAGGAGAGCCCCGTCCCGGAGGAGCAGGAGCTGCACCAACCTTCCCGGGCGGGCGGAAAGGGGCCCGCAGGGAGTTGGAGCAGGACCCAGGAGGGCGGGGATGCCCTCGGGCTCCCGGGGACACTAACAGACACCTGCGCCCGCGGAGAGTGCTCCGAGCTCCCTAAGGGCTGCAGCGCGCACGGCGGGGACACGGAGCAGCTCGGAGGGGCTCGGGAGCGGCTCCAGGGAGGGGGCTGCGGGGCGGGAGCGCGAATCCCACAGCGCAGGCCCCGGAGCACAGGGCGCCGGGACACAGCCCAGGATCCGGCCTCCCCCGGGACAGGCAGAGGCCGGGAGGGCCCAGGACAGCAAGGACGCTCCTGCCCCGAGCTGAGCACATCAGCGGCCCCGCCCCGGAGCCTCCAGGCCCTGCGGACGGAGAGCCGAGAGCCCCGAGGCCCGTAGTTCCTTCGGAGGCTGAATCCAGACTTCCAGAGTTGCCATAGCAACTGCTGCTGTTCCTCCCTGGGGTAAACAACCCCCGCTGAGCCCTGCAGCAGGCAGGGGCAGAGCAGCTCCCCCAAGTGCTAACACCTGAAAATCAGCACAGCAGGCCCCTCCCCCAGAAGACCAGCTAGACGGACCAGTGATACTCCCCCGTGTTCCAATACAACTTGTTTCTGGCCCCTCTGCACTGAGCAAAATGACTAGAAGGAAAACCTCACTTCAAAAGAAAGAATCAGAAACAGCCCTCTCTCCCACAGAGTTACAAAATCTGGATTACACTTCAATGTCAGAAAGCCAATTCAGAAGCACTATTCTACAGCTACTGGTGGCTCTAGAAAAAAGCATTAAGGCCTCACGAGACTTCATGACTGCAGAATTTAGATCCAATCAGGCAGAAATTAAAAATCAATTGAATGAGATGCAATCCAAACTAGAAGTCCTAACGACGAGGGTTAACGAGGTGGAAGAACGAGTGAGTGACATAGAAGACAAGTTAATGGCAAAGAGGGAAACTGAGGAAAAAAGAGATAAACAATTAAAGAACCATGAAGACAGATTAAGGCAAATAAATGACACTCTAAGGAAGAAAAACCTACGTTTAATTGGGGTTCCCGAGGGCGCCGAAAGGGACAGAGGGCCAGAATATGTATTTGAACAAATCCTAGCTGAAAACTTTCCCAATCTGGGAAGGGAAACAGGCATTCAGATCCAGGAAATAGAGAGATCCCCCCCTAAAATCAATAAAAACCGTTCAACACCTCGACATCTAATAGTGAAGCTTGCAAATTCCAAAGATAAAGAGAAGATCCTTAAAGCAGCAAGAGACAAGAAGTCCCTGACTTTCATGGGGAGGAATATTAGGGTAACAGCAGACCTCTCCACAGAGACGTGGCAGGCCAGAAAGGGCTGGCAGGATATATTCAGGGTCCTAAATGAGAAGAACATGCAACCAAGAATACTTTATCCAGCAAGGCTCTCATTCAAAATGGAAGGAGAGATAAAGAGCTTCCAAGACAGGCAGGAACTGAAAGAATATGTGACCTCCAAACCAGCTCTGCAAGAAATTTTAAGGGGGACTCTTAAAACTCCCCTTTAAGAAGAAGTTCAAGTAACTCTGAACGTGAATGGGCTTAATGACCCCATCAAAAGGCGCAGAGTTTCAGACTGGATAAAAAAACAGGACCCATCTATTTGCTGTCTACAAGAGACTCATTTTAGACAGAAGGACACCTACAACCTGAAAATAAAAGGTTGGAGAACCATTTACCATTCAAATGGTTCTCAAAATATACCCTAAAAACTACAGAACACTTCTGAAAGAAATTGAGGAAGACACAAAGAGATGGAAAAATATTCCATGCTCATGGATTGGCAGAATTAATATTGTGAAAATGTCAATGTTACCCAGGGCAACTTACACGTATAATGCAATCCCTATCAAAATACCATGGACTTTCTTCAGAGACTTAGAACAAATTATTTTAAGATTTGTGTGGAATCAGAAAAGACCCCAAACAGCCAGGGGAATTTTAAAAAAGAAAACCATATCTGGGGGCATCACAATGCCAGATTTCAGGTTGTACTACAAAGCTGTGTTCATCAAGACAGTGTGGTACTGGCACAAAAACAGACATATAGATCAATGGAACAGAACAGAGAACCCAGAAGTGGACCCTGAACTTTATGGTCAACTAATATACGATAAAGGAGGAAAGACGATCCACTGGAAGAAAGACAGTCTCTTCAATAAATGGTGCTGGGAAAATTGGACATCCACATGCAGAAGAATGAAACTGGACCACTCTCTTGCACCATACACAAAGATAAACTCAAAATAGATGAAAGATCTAAATGTGAGACAAGATTCCATCAAAATCCCAGAGGAGAACTCAGGCAACACCCTTTTTGAACTTGGCCACAGTAACCGGAGAAGGACAAACAGTGTATGTTCTCATTCATTTGGGGAATATGAATAATAGCGAAAGGGAATATAAGGGAAGGGAGAAGAAATGTGTGAGAAATATCAGAAAGGGAGACAGAACATAAAGACTTCTAACTCTGGGAAATGAACTAGGGGTGGTGGAGGGGGAGGAGGGTGGGGGGTGGGGGTGAATGAGTGACGGGCACTGAGGGGTACACTTGACGGGATGAGCACTGGGTGTTATTCTGTATGTTGGTAAATTGAACACCAATAAAAATTAATTTATAAAAAAAAAAAAAAAAAAAAAAGCAGATGAGTGATTGCCAGGAGCTAGGGGTTAAGATGAGGGGTATGATTACAAAGGGCCACAAGGAACTTGAAATGAGGGAAATATTCTATATCTACATTGTCAATAGTCATTACATGTATATATATGCTTATCAAACCTCATTAAACTCTATGCATGCCTAAAAGATGTCAGTTTTACTGCATATAAATTATATCTCAGTAAACCTGACTTATTTTTTAAAATATGGCATTCATGAAACATGAATATTTTAAAAAGTGATTATTTGGGGGTGCCTAGGTAGTTCAATCAGTTAAACGTCCAACTTTTTATTTCAGCTCAGGTTATGATCTCAGGATCCTGTGATTGATTTCCATGTCAGGCTCCAGCTGGCCATGGAGCCTGCTTAAGATTCTCTCTCTCCCTCTCCCACCACCCCTCTCCCCAACTCCCATGCATGCTTGTATAACCTCTAAAAAAGAGAGAGAGAGATTATTTGGAAAAGAAAAAAGTTTTAGGAAATTAGAAATATGATATGGAACTGAAAAACATAATGGAAGGACCTGGAGATAAAGTTGAGGAAATCTCAGAACACAGCACAAAACAAAGAAAAGGAAAATGGGTAGTGAGGGCAGAGGAGAAAATAGGGATAACTAAGGAATTAATCCAGTAGGTTCAATACTTAAGCAATAACCATTCTGGAAAGAAAAAGAGACAGTAATAGAGGAAATAACTCAAGAAGTAATACAAGAAAATGTCCCAGGATTTAAGGATGCAAGTTTCCAGATTAAGAGAATCCCCCAAGTTCCCAGCATAATAGAGGAAAATAGCCCCACAGTAAGACTCATCTTTGCAAAAGGAAGAAACACTGATAATAAGCCAAAGGCCCTTAAAGTCTCCAGAGAAGAAAAAAGATTTCATACCATGGACTAAAAATCAGAATAGCATCAGACTTCTCAAGTTCAATATGATGGCTATAAGGCAATGTGGCAATGCCCTCAAACTTCTTTTTTTTTTCCCCTCCAACTTCTAAAGAAAAATAATATTCATTTTAGATTTCTGTATCCAGATAAATATCAGTTAAGAGCAAGGAGGAAAAAAAAGGCATTTTCAGATATGCAATAACTAAACACATTTACTTCCTATCAACTTTCTCTCAGAGCTCCTGGAGAATGGGTTCCTCCAAAACACAGGAGTAAATCACAAAAATGGAAGACAAAGGATCCAGAAATAAGGATAGCCAACACCAGAAATTGTACAGAGAATATCTAGAATGATGATAAGAGCAACTCAGAGAACAACCTATGCAGAGCAGAACAGAGCAGATCAGAGATTTCCAGGAACATAAGGCAGGAGGACTTAGACCTCTAGAGAGTATGGGGGCTAATACTGGTAAATCCATCTAATGAAAACTAAGCAATGAGAAAACAAGATGAAGAAAATTAAAATTTTCTGTGAGAAAATATAACTATAGTATTTTGCATGGCTTAGCAGGGATCTGATAATATAGACACTGTATACTGATCTCACCAAAATGAGAATATAATTAGTTGAGAGAAGTGTGCTTGGATTTAGTGAATGGAGAGGGTGAAAAAAAGCTATGACCTCATCTTCCATCGTCAAGTCAGTAAGGCCCAAACTGAAACTCAGTATATTCATAGTATTTAGTAATAGGGAGATAAATACTTCCCCCAAAAAAGTTAAAACTGTTATTTAAAAAAAAGTTCCCGGGATCCCTGGGTGGCGCAGCGGTTTGGCGCCTGCCTTTGGCCCAGGGCGCGATCCTGGAGACCCAGGATCAAATCCCACATCGGGTTCCCGGTGCACGGAGCCTGCTTCTCCCTCTGCCTGTGTCTCTGCCTCTCTGTGTGTGTGTGACTATCATAAATAAATAAAAATTTAAAAATTAAAAAAAAATAAAAAAAAGTTCCCTTTGTAGAAAATTTGGGGGAACAGAGGGGTAGACTTTTTATAATGAACTTTTAACTACTTGACTGTTTAAACTATATGCATGTACATTGATCAAAATATACTTTTTTATCAAAATAGATTTTTTTAAATGATTACAGTTAACTATCCTTCCCAAACAGGCTCCAACTCATTTGTTCACCACTATTTTCATTTGCATCAAGAGAGAAAGTGCCAGAGGGAGAGGGATCAAGGGGATGGGCAAAATGGAGGAAGGAGAGTGGGAGATCCAGGATTCCAGTTACAGAATGAACAAGTAATGGGGACGAAAGATACAGGATAGGAAATAGAGTCAATAGTATTATAATAGCATTGTATGGTGACAGATGGTAGCTACTAGACTCATGGTGCGCAGAGCATAACATGTAGAGCTGTCAAATCACTATGTTGCACACCTTAAACTATTATAACATTGCATGTCAACTACACTTCAATTAAAAAATGATATACATTTTTTTAAAAAACTAAGTAAGAAAAAAAGAGAGAAGAACTCTGAAATTTTCCAGAACATTCCAAATATCTGAACATCCACACATTGTGTGAATATCTATGAATCCAATCTTCTTCATAATCCAGAAACCCACCATGGGTAGAGCTCTCCTTAACATTTTTTTTTTTAAGATTTTATTTATTTATTCATGAGAGACCAGAGAAAGAGAGAGGCAGAAACACAGGCAGAGGGAGAAGCAGGCTCCATGCAGAGTGTCTGACATGGGACTTGATCCCAGATCTCCAGGATCATGCCCTGGGCTGAAGGCAGTGCTAAATCGCTGAGCCACCCGGGCTGCCCTCCTTAACATTTCCTGTCCACCAACTGGGAGAAAACCACAAACTTACCTCCGTGCATCGCGTCAACCCGGATCTTCAGTTGGCCAGGCCCTGTCAGCAAACTCTTGATGGCATTAAAGTCAAAGATGGTCCGAAGAAGGTTGAGATAGATATCTACTGGGTCCACTATCTCCACTAAGGATATGAAAGCAAAAGGAAACATCACTGACCATATCCATGAAGTCTACCTGGAAGTATAAAATGAATCACCACCCTCATAGGGTGACGTTCTGTTCACAATCCCATCATAACCCTACACATCATGCAGGAAGCCAAGTATCCATTTGTAGGCTAAGTCACAAATTAAGGCACAATCAAGATCCCGCAGACTTTTCCAGTCATTGATAGGTGTACTTAATACAAGTTATACATTCCTCTTAGAAAATGAAGAATCAACCACAGAATAAAGGTGTTAAAACTGTACCCTTTTATCCCACCTTTCTTCCACCACCTCTCTCCCAAAAAATGCACACACCTCAATGTCAAGAGGCATCTTGACACACTCATTCACTATGGGGGTTAGCCAAAGAACCACTCAGTGGGCTTGAAACAAATCAAGGAGTGACCTCAGGAGTGACCCTTATTTTCTAAACACCATTGGAGTCCACCAAATCTAGGGTTAGAATTGGTGATGAAGAATTTAATCCTGAGTTTGTATGAAGTCTCTGGTGTGCCCAATCCAGTACAGATTTCAGGGTGAATGCCAGATATTTAGAAATCTTCATTAAACACAAATGTTCTTCAGTGTCTGGCACCACCCAGTGACCAGGAATCCAAAACTAGTCTTTTCCAGTTATCTGACATACACAAAACCCAAAAGACATTACATTTTTTAAACTTCACCATCAGCATATAATACTAAGAAAGTATTTTCCTAGAATAGTAAATATTTGACTCTTTAGACACTAAAATTTGTTCATAAGCCCTGCTTTTAAATTCATAGTTAAGTTTTGAAGCATATGTATGTTGTTTTTCAAATTTTTCAAATACCTACTACTTGGGAATTCTGAAATACTTAAACCTGCACTAAAGATATTACCAATCCACCTTTAATAATTTTCAGTAAATCCAGGTATAATAGTTAACAGATGGAATTTTAATATGTTATATGAAACTATCCCTTTGTCTGGTCAAATACACATCTAAAAATATTCTTCTTTACACCTAAATCAGTGTAGTATGTGTACTCATTCAAATATAATGTAACTATTTTTTGATGAACACAAATCATTTTTAATCCTTTGGCCTGAGGGAGATATTGATTTATACAATAAATTAGGAATTAATCTACATGAAATGTATACCTAAAAATGGTTAAAATGTTCAATTTTATGTTATATATATTATACCATAGTAAAAAATAACCTATAAAATAAAAGATTATATCCTGAATATGTTAGAAGACTTACTCTACAATATAGGATAATTTTGGCAATTTCATTCTGGTTCTTTAGCCCTTGAACCATTTGCCTAAATGTACTTAGTATTCATAGAAGATAATACATAGTAAACAGAAATGTAAAAAACAAGGAAGCAAGTAGAATTCAGTGAAAATTGAAAGTTCACATCAAATTGTTCATGGTCTTGACCCTGTAAAGTGAAATGCCAAGGAATGATGTGTGTCCAATTAACTCAAACCTTGCTCAACATTTAAAACAGCAAGAACATAGAACATAAACTATCCCCAGCGATTATTTCCAAATTCTTCTTAGGAACCAGGGAATTCTTCTAGCCGCTTCCTGGTATCCATAGCATTTTAGAAAACTCAACAAATTAGCAATGTGCCTGCAGAAAGAGCCCAAATCTGAACTCACCAAAGATGTGGGTCTCTTAGACAAGTATAAAAATTGTGAAAATGACCAAAAGTAAATAAGGCACTCATAACTTCTTCCTCATAGTAAAGCCTAATTTTTCCCAGTCATCTTATTGTCCAATTTTTCCAAAATATGTAAATAAGCATATTTAAATACATTTGTTTCATATAATATATCCCTTGTTTATAGTTGTCAAACCACTGTGTGTACATGTGTGCACATGCTTGCAACTAGATTAATAAAAGGAGGCACCATTGTTTCCAGTATCACATGGCTTTCAATTAGTTTCTGCTGATTAAACAAGCAATGACTCAAAATTCTTCAAGAAAATGGTAGTAGTGTTGGCTTCATAGTGTGACCCCTCAACAATCCATTTCAGGCTCTTCCCTGTCCCTCAAATAGCATGTGGCTGTGAGCCTGGTACTTAATCTTTTTAGCTAAATTCATTGTCAAATAAGGATAACATCTTAACACCGATTGTATTTAAGCTAATAGGAAACAGAGTAAAAAGTTGGTTTATGGCTAATTGTATACATTATTGGAAAAAGCAAGAAGACAAAAGAGAGGGGGAAATAACATGCATGATATTAATGATGTTATATGGTTCAATATTAATCTGTAAAGTTAAAGGTTATAATCTGAGTACTTTAAAGTTTCAGTCACTCTATAGTAAAGGCTACTTGGGGGCAATTTCAGTCTGTTCTTTGCCTAAATCCATTTGGTATGTACTGGGATCCTAGGAAAATCTCCTAACATAGTGCTTGGTATAGAAGAGGTGATCACTGGCACACTGAATCAAGTTGAACAGCGCTTTAGTGGCTTAGAAAAAAAAATGCCTACATTCCATGGGAAATTTTAATGATTCCATTATCTTGTTGGTTCTCTTCTTAATTGTATAAGATATTCCAGCTTTTTCACCTTAGTTGATTAAAAAAGTGAAGACATATCCTGGCGATTCACAATCTATTCTTGGAATGCCAGAAGGGAGTCAGCTATGACATTTTTCCTATGTTGAAAATGATCCTGGGCTTGGGAAGTCATTTTTGAAAGTTGCCAGTTCTGGGTTTCTTGGCTTCTCTCACCTTCCTTTGCGCTACAGTCATACTACATCTGTTTATGAAGTCACTCCCAAAATAGATAATTCAATCACTTTAATGTGCGCTCTCCCCTGCGGAAAGCAGTCACCCCCACCCACGGAGTTATTCCAACTTCTTCAAAATATAATCTATTACCTCTAAATGGTTTGAATTTGTTCTCCAGGTCAAATTCTTGTCTTCCGAGCCGAGATAGGTCGATTCGAAGATCAGGGCATATGGCGTATTCCTCGATTGTTTTGCTGATCTGATAGATTTTGTCTGAGACCACATCTGGTGCAGGACCTGCATTTGAAAATAGCATACCACCAAAAATAAGTTTTTTAAAAAGTGCCTGCAACTTCAATCAAGGGAATGTTACCTCCTTCACCACCAAGCAAAAGAATGATTCATTCGTTCTCCAAACAATGGACAACAGTTGACAGTTCAATTAGCTTCCATTTTCCTTGTGCTGTATTCGTCCAGTATGGAAGAAATTTGGTCAGCCTCACCTGTTTTATGTAGGCTAATAACCCACATGTTTGTTTGTCTGAATCCACTTTTGAGCAATGATACATCTTCCCTAAAAATAGTTTCACACCTGCCGGGGAGACCCGATTATGTAATCAGCTTTATTCAGGATATGAGACACCAACAGGATATGCACTTGACAGAAGTAAGGGATTCCAGATTTAAACTGCAGCCTCCCAAGTGCACCTAGAGAAAGAAAATACAACTTCTACTCCCTGATCGGCTGCCTTGTGGAGGCAGGAGCTTACCAGGGTCAACTATTTTCCCCAACTCACTCTCTCGAGTGACTTCCAATTTAAATTGGAAATTTAAAATGAGGTTTAGCCAAAAATATTTGATGTGTTCCCTCACAAGGTCAAGAGGATAACTGTGCTGAGAGAGACTTTAAATGAACATAAAATCAACAGTTGTCCTCCTTTCACTTTCTTTTTAATTTTTATATCTTACTGCAAGTCACTTTTGATTTTTTGCAACAAGTTTGGGAATCAAATGAATACACTGAAAGATCTGAAATATAAATGTTAGCCAATAGGTGGGTTTTGTATGAATTATACTCACCAACTCTATTGTAACTTTCAACTAAAAAGAAATCAAGAAATAATTTCTTTTCTATCCCAATCCTTCAAGTTCCCTATAGTCAGTACAGTAGTCATTGGCTATATGCAGCTATAGAGCACTTGAAATTGGCTAGTGAAATTGATGAGTATTGTAATTGCAAAATATACATCAAATTTTGAACAGTTCCTAGAAAAAAACATAACAGATTTCTATTAGACCTGTGCCTTGAAGCACAGCATGGTTTCTGTATCCCAATAAATGCTCATGGAACAGCACCCAAACACATTAAACTGCACATATTAAATATGTGCAGATCTTTTGTATATAAATTAAACCTCAAGAAACCTATTTTAAAAATAAAGGAATAGCAATAGCCCCACTCTAGTGCATAAGAAAGAAGCCTAGTAGATTTTACCCACATTTCCTTGTCCTATAGGAAAACCAAAGACCGAAAAAAAAATGACCCTCCTCCTCCACTCCTTAACATTTTTTAACCTTTTGCAAAACTTAAAGCAGTAAGTAGTCTTGTTCATGTCCGATTAGAGAATGCATGACTATCCCCCTGCTCCCTTAGGGGCCACCCTACGTTCTTTGGCTGTGTCCCTCACTTTTAAAAAGTCTGACTTCATGACCACACACACTGGTTTCTAAACGTTAAACAACTTTCGCATGGTAGTTTTCTAGGATGCCACTCAACCACTCATGTTGTTAACCTCACAGTTCATCAACAGCCTCTGCATCCATTGACAACTTCCAAGTTCTTTGACATCTTCCACTCCCATGACTTTCCTCTCCATTTTAGTCAGGGGCTGGTAGAGTTATATCTTAAGTATTACTGTCTCTTGCAATCCTTTCAAAAATGTCAAATTTGAGTGCCCTCAACCCACAAATTCCTTACCTGCCAGCTACCCTCCTTCATACCGCTGCTGAACCTGCTCATTCCTAGACTGATGCTCATCATCACTTGATTAATCCCAGGCTATCAGCCCATTCTAGTTTCACTGGTCTCCTATCCCAGGCAGGACGCTATGGTCCACCATTTGAGCCATTCCCTTGTTAGCATCATCACATGAGCCTATAATTATTGAAATTTACATATACCACATTTCACACTTTACTTGGTATTCCACACTCACAAAAAGCAGATGAAGTAGGAATTAATATTATCCTCATTTTCCAAATGGGGAAACTGAAATTTGAAGAGGTGGAGATCCTTAACCAAAGTCCCCTCACTGGTGACAGACAGAGGCTGGATTCTGAATCCTAACTGTCTGAAGTCAGTCCAGACATCCAAAAAAAGCACAAGCCTCCTTGAGGCTGTGCCATGCCCACCCTGGGACATTGCCATCATCAGCCCCCATTGCTGCCATTTCTAGACTCCGTCATATTGCTGGAGATAGTCACAAAATTACACCCATTGGCTCCCCCTAAGAATGAAGCTGCTTATTAGCTTTACAATGTGTTAGGCATGAATCCTCAACAAATTTCCCAGTGTACCTCTTACAAAACATGTCCCAAGTCCCTCCTCTATCCTTGTCAAATTATCTCAGCAGGCAACCTATCTTCTTACTTTCTTTTTGAACAGACACAGCAACTATTTCCCCAAACTTCCAATCCACACCCCTTAGAGTTTCTTCTTTCCCCATCTTCGCCTTCTTATTCAGAAGTTCTGCCCTCTTGACAGAATCTGGGCTCTAATTGAGCTCCACAGCTTACTCATTCTGCAACACTGGTCAAATTTTCTAAACCATTTTATTTCTCAGTGACTTCATCAGATTGGGATAAGGATTAAATGAGATAATACATGTAAAGTTCTGAGTATAGTGTAAGCACACTGTAAGATTCTGGAAAATCCAGTATTTTTATTATGAATTCCATGTCCCCTCTAGCATCTTCCCCTCTACTTAAAAAAACAGGCTCAGAATGGTCCTGTCCTCTAAATCCCTTTTAAAAACAACATAGTTCCAGATATGTTCCATATCCCTGAATGTGCCTACTAATTCTGTAGACACTTAGCCTTTTGCTTTTTTTAAAAAGATTTATTTATTTATTTGAGAGAGAAAGCATGAGTGGGGTGAGGGGCAGAGGAAGAGAGAGAGAGAAAGAGGTAAAACGCTCTGCTGAGTGCAGAGCCTGATGTGGGGTTGACATGGGGCTCAATCCCATGACCCCAAGATCACAAGCTGAGCCGAAATCAAGAGTTGGATGCCCAACCCACTGAGTCACCCAGGCACCCCAAGATACTTAGCCTTTTAATTCATTACACAAAATGTATCTATATGACACACAATGAAAAGAGAGGAATACCTCTTCAGGAAAAGAAATTATGATAAAGATTTATTCTACTTTGAGTAGGAAGAAACCAACTGAATCTTTCTATGCTATTAAGAATGTTAGCTTCAAAAAAAAAAAGAATGTTAGCTTCATTAAGAATGCTGAGACATGCAAATATGAAGAATTAAGCATAAGAAAGGTACTTTCAAAACAGTTAAAGGCCAAATGATAAATTCAATGCCCCACTCTATGGCTGAATAGGTCTCATTTCCTCCTGTAATTTGGTCTACAAAATGGGTATTTAAATAATATCTTCTCTCCTTATGCTTCACAGGATATCATAGAGATGACTGAGATGTTCTCATAAGATATGAAATCAAATATAAATTCCAAATGCTTACTTGAAATCCATTGTTTAACTTGGCAACTTTTATATCACATTTCTCTACAAATTCCCATTTTCTGAGCCCATTCGGTTTCCTGTGTTAACAGCATATAGAATACCTGAATATTGCCAATTTTTTCCTAAAATCCTCAGTAGCAAGACTAGACATGAGTCCTAAGTGTGCTTTTTAATGAAGCAGAACATCTCTAAGTACGGGACACTTCATAAGGTGTTTTTCTTTTTTAAACAGTTGACATGAGTGAAGTTCATTTGTTTGGATAGTGTCCAAAACGGCTGCAAGGAGAGGGAAATAATGAATATTCTGGCCCAGGCCAGAAATAATTCATAAAGGTAACTGTTAATGGTTAAAATTTGCTCCTACCCACATATAAATGCAGACTCAGTGTTCTAGATTAAGATTAAGAGAATTAACAACCAAATGTAATGCATAGTTCTGGGATGAATCCTGGTTTAAATAAAACATTTATAAATAACATGTTGGAGGCAACTGGAAAAATCTGAGTATGGATTAGGTGTCAGGTGTGATAATGTAGTATGTTGGAATATGTCTTCCTTTTTAAGAGATGTATTCAGAAAGATTTGTGTAAAATGTCTTCATGCTGTAATTTATCTTAAAATCCTTTAGGAAAATCAAGTGCAAAATGGAAAACCAAGATGATGGACACAGGCTACCCATTTATTTTCCCCCTTAACTTTATGTATGTTTAAAAATTTGTTCATTTCACCCCACATACACATCTCCCACCCCACAAAGACCTCCAAACTATACATTTCTGTAACTGTAAGGAAAAATGAAATAATTCTAAGCATGTCAGTGAGAGAAAGTCAGCACTATAGGAAAAGAGGGATGTCTACAAGTTATGCTAAAAAATCATTTGTCTGGCCTTGGGCAGCCATGTGAACTTGAGCAAATAACAGCCTCTTGGGGATTTGATTTCTTCATCTATACAATGACAGGAAGGGTCTAAATGATTTAGAGGGTATGTTCCAACTTTAAAATCCAAAGTCCTTCCAGGTCAGAGAAGCATCAATTATTCAACTATTTCACTGTGCTAAGGAGGGAATAGGACCAAGAGACCAAATGGTTTCAAGATCCCATTAGGCCACTCCTTTGTCATGTCACCTCAAGGGTTGTGATGGTTAATTTTATATGTCAACCTGACCAGGCCATGGGGTGCCCAGACATTTGGTGAAACCTTATTCCCATGTGTCTGTAGGGCTGTTTCTGGATAAGATTAGCATTTGAATCAGTAGACTGAGTGAAGGAGAGTGTCTTCTCCAGTGTGATAGCCTCATCCAACCCACTGAAAGCCTGGACAGAATAAGGGGCTGAATAAAGGAGAATTCACACTCTCTGCATGGCTTCAAACTAAGACACTGGTCCCCTCTCCTGCCTTCAAAGCTGGACTCACAGTGGAACTTACACCACCAGCTCTGCTGTTTTTTAGGGGACTCAGAACAGAACTCTGCCATCAACTTTCCTGGGTCTATAAGTCTCAGGACTTTTCAGCCTCCATCATCACCCAAGCCAACTCCCTCTCTGGGCCCCAGTGCAGACAAGGAGGCTGTGTGTGGGCCCTTTAAAAGCCATCCCTCAGTTCACCACAGCCCTGTGGGTCAAGGGTATGAACCAGTTGGTCTTCAAAGCAGATGTTTTGGGGGCTCACATCTCAGATGCCAGTCTTAAAAGCTGGAGCACCCAATGTAGAAGACGAACCCTCTCTTCCTCGGAGAGTAGCTCAGGGTTTTTGCATTCTCTCCAAATAGTGAATTGTTTCACCAGCAGTGAGGTTTATGGTAAGGTTGTATCCCAGCCTCTCCTACCCACTTGGACATTTTCCTCTCATGTGCCCTTTCTCTGTGTAAAGGGGCTGCTCTGCTAGTTTTTAGAGTTTTTTTCAGAGGAAATTAATCCATATATCTGTAGATTCGGTGTGTCCATGAGGAGGTGAGTTCTGATATTCCTACATCACCATCTGGAACCAGAACCCAGCCAATTCCTTATTTAAAAAATCTCTTTGTAAGCCTACTGGCTCTGTTCCTCTGAAGAAATCTGTCTAATACAGCACCTCACTGGAACTTTCTGAGCCATTTCCCCTCCACTTTGCTTGTCTATATATCGGAGGATCATTGTAAGACTATAATAATAGGGCCACATGGGTGGCACAGTCCGTTAAGTGTCAGACTCTTGGTTTTGGCTCAGATAGTGATCTCAGGGTCATGAGATGGAGCCCCGCATCAGGCTCCATGCTCAACCCAAATCTGTTCAAGATTCTCCCTCTCCTCCCTCTGCCCCTTCTCTTGCTCTTGTGTTCTTGCTTCTCTCTCTCTCTCTCTCTCAAATATTTTTAAAAAGACTATGATAACATAAGAGAACAGAAATTATGATGATTAATGTATATTCTAAGCTACATACCTCCATTGGCAACATTGAACTTCACTCCAAACTCTCCCCCTGGTCCTCCAGGGCAGTGGCTGGCTGTTAGGATGATCCCACCAGCTGCCTTGATCTTCCTGATAATGCAGGAAACAGCAGGTGTTGACAAGATGCCATTCTGTCCAATTATCAGGCGTCCAATCTAGATTGGCCAAGGAAAAAAAAAATCAATCCAGTTACATGGGATCGAAGCCTCTGTTAATACACAGTAAATCACTTGGCAAAAGGAACTGAGTGGGCTTTGGCTTAGGGGGTAAAGGAGAGCTCTGGCATTGTCTCTCCTGTCCAGTATCTCCAACACCTTTGGGGCACCCACATCTAGCAGTCAATTATCAAGTTGTAAATTGGATCTGCTTCACTGATTTTTAGTCATTTGAAACATCCATGTTTGATGACCAAAGGGGTAGCTTGAACTACACAAGAAGTTCTTAATTTGTTACTGGCTTAGAAACTCTACACGCGAACATGCTAGAAATTATAAGAAAAAAGAAATGGAGGCTTCTTTGTTTCACCCACTTCTTCTCTCTTCCTCAGCACGACTCACACAGGAGGGACATGGCTTACTGAACCTCAGCAGCAGCAGGTGTATTTAACCACACTCGGAATGACCACTCTTAAAAGGCAAGAATTTTACTTCTGCCACTGGTAACATGTGCTGGGAATACAGGAAAAACCATCCAGCCATGGTAAGCAGAGACCTGGAAGTCATCCATGGGTGTGGCCAGAGTCTTTCTATAGCTACAAAACTGACTTTTAAAAAAGAAAGCCACATAGCCCTGCAGAGTATTACCCAGGATGCTTTATCTTAAAATAGAGACCAATGTCATCCAGTCCAGTGGTTCTCGAATGTTACTACAATTCAGAATCCTAATGAAGCCTTAAAATTACCAATATTCAGACTAATTATACTGGAATATCTCGGGGTAGAATCAAGGCTTTGTAGTCTTTAAAGCCCTGTGGGTGATTTCAAATTTGGTGATCAAATCTCCTTGTTTCACAAAGAATTGCAGCAGCATGGGCATCACTAAAGAGCATGGCAGAAATGCAGAACCTCAAGGTCCACTCAGGACCCACTGAGGAAGAATCAGTAAGTACCTTAACAAGACCCCCTTCCCCCCTTCCAGCTAATTCATTTATCCATTAAAATTTGAGAAGTAAAAAAAAAAAAAAATTGAGAAGTACTGCTGTAGCCCATAAGCCAAGGCGAGCTCTAGCATCCAGCCCAAACCAAAATTACCCTGGCACCAACTAGAGCATTGCTAGAAGTAGGTAACTGACCAAACATGACAATGAGGGAACATACAGGAAAAAATGTACAAAAAGCAAACACAAGGGCTCCAAGAATAAAGCAGTCCTGGGATGATTTAGTATGGAAAGACCCAGAACATCCCCAGAGTATACATTTTCAAGTAAAGGAGGCAGACTATAAACAAATAAACCTAATAATAATATTTACTAGTTAGATACATATTAGGAAGGAGATGAGCAGGGTTCTGTGAAATAGAATAATGAGGTGTCAATTTTAATAAAAAAACAAACAATAATAATAATAACACAGCAAGCTTGGATTTTATCCTAAACACAATGGGAATTCATGGAAGAGCTTGAAGTAGTGGAAATGACCGGAGAGCATTTACATTCTAAAAGATCACAGAATGAGCAGTCCAAATGATCTGTTCAGAAAGCAAGTCATATCACATCAGCAAAATATATGTCAAGAACAAAGCCAAAGTAAAGCCAAAGTCATCATTGTCCTAATCTACAAGGCCCCAACATGACCTAACCCCATTACCTGACATCTTCCACATCCCTCCCTCCTCTGCTCCAGCTGCACTGATTTGTTTACTGTTCCTCAAACCTGTCAAGCATGATGAGGGACCTTTGCATTTTCTCTTTCCTCTGCTTCAGATACTTTTACCCAGATATTTATATGCCTGCCTCCTCCTATCCTTTGGGTTTCTGTCCCAAAGTCAACTAATCAGAGAGAGCACCATTGACTGACCTGTATAACACAGCACCCACACATCCCTAGGAATAGGAAGTTTCCTATTTCCTGTTTTAATCGTCCCTACTATACATATTACCATCTAACATTTTCCATATTTGTTTATTTCCCAACTATACAGAAGCTCTAACGGCTTTGTTTTATCAACCACTATATTTCAAGGACCTAGAACAAACCTGGTACATAGTAAGACCACAGTAAGTACATTGAACTGATTCATTGAGAAAAATGAATCAATGGTTAGTTTGTGAGAAATGTGTTAGAGAGACAAGAGCCAAAAGAGGAAGATCAGATGGAAGGCTATCACAGCAGAGCTGAGAGTGGATGGTGTCTTGGACGAGGCTAGAGACAAGAGAAATGAAGAGAAGGGATTCTATTTGAGGTTTTTGTTGAAGAGAAGGGATTCTATTTGAGGTTTTTGTTGAAGAGAAGGGATTCTATTTGAGGTTTTTGTTTTTTGTTTTTGTTTCTGGTTTTTTTTTTTTTTTTGGAAGGAGAATGAAAAGAATACGTAGTTAGAATGAAATGTGGAAGAAAGAAACTCTGGTAGCCGGCCTTCAAGATGGCCCCCGATGATCCTTGCCTTCTGGCATTTGTGCATTCCCGCCGTTCCCACCCACACTGAACAAGGCAGGACCAGGTGATTGGTAGAACACTGTACAACAGAGAGTGTGTCACTTCCAAGGTGAAGCCATAAATGACACTGTTGCTTCTGCCTTGCTGTCCTGGATGGTTGACTCTGAAGGAGACCAAGCCACTCTGTCAGGAAAACACACAAGGAGCCCTACGTAGGTACCCAAAGGGAGAGGAACTGCGGCCTCCAACAGCCCGCAGCAACTTTTTAGCTGTGTGAGTGGGCCATCTCCTGATGGATCCTCCAGCCCCCACCAAACCTTCATATGACAAAGCCCCCACCAACACGCGACTGTGACCTCATGAGAGTCTCCAGGTCCGAACAACCTATCCCCTTGAGTAAAACAAATTTGTTGTCTTGTTTGGCCATAAGTTTTGTCTTAATTTCCTGCACAGTAATGAACAACTAATACAAGGGCAGCGAGGAAAAGAATCTACTCCCAGATTTCCACCTTTAATATCTTAATGGATGATGTTGTCATTTATCAAGATGGGAAAGGCATAGGACAATAATTATACTCATATTGTTTTCCATAGCCATAATAAATTATGTTTCACATGCTCTTGTTAAAATTTATTTACTCATTCAACTCATTTTATTGAGTATTACCATGAAACAGGTATGTCAAAGACCCTGCAGATATAGTAATGAAGATGGTTTAGTCACTGCCCTCAGAGAATAGGTTTGTAGGTTCATGAATCTGAAAAAAATATTTGTAACTTTCAGTCATATTTTTCTATATTTCCCATTTTTTAGAATTGCTTGTAGAGAAACAGGAACCTACGTGGCTCATCCACCTAGGCATCCAGCTCTTGGTTTTGGCTCAGGTCATGATCCCAGTGTCCTGGGATCAAACCTCACATCGGGTTTGTCCCTTTCCTTCTGCTCCTTCCCTCTCTTTCTCTCTGTCTGGAATAAATAAATAAAACCTTTAAAAAAAATAAAGGGGGGGGATCCCTGGGTGGCGCAGCGGTTTGGCGCCTGCCTCTGGCCCAGGGCACGATCCTGGAGACCCGGGATCGAATCCCACGTCGGGCTCCCGGTGCATGGAGCCTGCTTCTCCCTCTGCCTGTGTCTCTGCCTCTCTTTCTCTCTCTGTGTGACTATCATAAATAAATTAAAATAAATTAAAATAAAATAAAATAAAAATAAAGGAGGAAGAGGTATGTGTGTGTAGATAATTCCTACAGCGGTATTTATTAAAAGTGAAAAATCAAAAGCAATATTTATAAATAAGGAACAATAATAGAAAGACCTGTTACATGGAGTGTGATGTACCAACTTATAGAATACTCCTCAGCCATTTTATTTTTTAAAAAATGTTATTTATTTATTCATGATAGAGAGAGAGGCAGAGACACAGGCAGAGGGAGAAGCAGACTCCATGCTGGGAGCCTGACATGGGACTCGATCCTGGGACTTCCAGGATCATGCCCTGGGCCGAAGGCAGGCACTGAGCCGCTGAGCCACCCAGGGATCCCTCCTCAGTCATTTTAAAGGATACTTAAGAAAATGATTTGGGGACCTGGATCCAGTCCCACATCGGGCTCCCTTCATGGAGCCTGCTTCTGCCTCTGCCTGTGTCTCTCCCTCTCTCTGTGTTTCTCGTGAATAAATAAATAAATAAAATCTCTAAAAAAAAAAAATAGAAAGAAAATAATGCACCTGTGGCACACTTGGTTCGTAGTCCACAAACAGCACTGATCCCACCCCCCCTTTCCAAGTGCAGACTTCTCATTGAGGAGCAACCTCTAGCCCCCAACGAGAGGCCACATTTCCCAGCCCACCCTTGCATCTAGTGGGGCCGCATGACTAATTTCACAACAGATGATGAACGTGAGAATGCGGACAGAAATACTGCATGTAAGAAGCAGATGTGCCTCCTCTACACTGTGTATTTCCTCTTCCACAAATTCAGTACAGGGCAAATCACTTTTCTGAGACTTTGTGTCTTCATTGGCAAAGCCAAGAATCTTAAGACAAGATCCCATAAATAAAAACCCTTTGTTAAATTAAGCATGACATAAGTTATGTTACTGCTCCCCAAATTCCATCACTCTCCTCAAACATTTGAAATTCATTTTTTAAAAAGATTTATTTCTCTATTTTGAGAAAGATACAGCACACATCTGGGGGTGAGCAGGAGGAGGGATGGGGGAGAGGGAGAGAGAATCTCAAGCAGACTCCCCACTAAATGCAGATCCTGGAGTGGCGCTCCATCTGATGACCCTGAGATCACAACCTGAGCCAAAATCAAGAGTCAAATGTTTAACTGCGTCACCCAGGTGCCCCTAAATTCCCTTTTTAGACAATAGTTTATCCCTTAAACTACCATTTCACTCTCCGAAAAAGTCTCAGAAGTACTACCCCTTGCCTATGTAGCAGACTGCTACCTTGCAAGGAGAAGATGGTCTACTTGCACAATCAGTGTGGGTCTTGGTTAGGGCATTGCAGCAGGCAGCCTCTGCCTTTCATTCCTGAGTGAACCCCAGGCTGAAACCCA